TATACTTGTAAGAAATTAAGAAGTTACAAAATGGCTTCAAAACTTGCTCTGCAGGAGTACACAGTAGTTGGGTCTGTGGCAGAAAATGTGCTAACCCAACAAGGTGGCTTCATGTGTGATGAGGTCCATCAGAAGGCACAGCACGTTGTTGTTACATCATGCAAATAATTTTTATTTTTTTATTTTTTTATTTATTCATTTCAAAACTGAACAGCTGGGCAGTTTTACTGGATTTTCTAAAAGGGAGAAAATGGCCTTCTGCCCCTGGAAAAGCTGAGAGAAATTCTGTGGTCATTGGCTAAATGTTTTCTTGTTTTTTTTTCACTTTGGTCACAGGTAAATGTGCGAAATGGGATGACCTTACATGACTGTCTCATGAAGGCACTGAAAGTGAGAGGTCTGCAGCCAGAATGCTGTGCAGTTTTTCGACTTCTTGCTGAACCAAAAGGGTAAGAGTGGAATTTGCAACTAGAGAATGTCGAAGTCTCAGTTTTGGAGTAACAGCAATCGTGCTTTCTTCCTCTCTGGCTAGTTTTTTTTAAAAGCAGAGTTTGGTTGTGAACACTTCCATATTGCTTTCTTTACTCTCTTCTAGGGCAGTTCCTTCAGCTGCCTGGTATTAGCAGTTGTGTTTTTGTTTTAAAGCTAAATATTGAGAATGCTTACAATGGAGTGGTACACAAGTGCTTGTAGCCTCTTCCTGAGGGTTTGGTCATGCTCTAGCTGAAGTGATGCCTTCATATTTGAGGTGCATTTCTCTGCTGCATTTGTAGTTGATAAACTTCAGTGCTAGTGATTCTTAGCCAACCTAACTGAAGGTCTCTGTGTGCTCAGTTTTAAGGCTCTACATTCCTCTACAACTTCTCAATGTCTGGATTGAAATCTCACTTCAGATATTCCTTATTTTTTTGTAGGACCGGGGATGCTGCTATTAAATACCAAATGATTGTTTTACAAGCTGAGGGAGTGAAGGTATCTCATGGAGTTAATACACTTAACTTCACACCTCGTAAGGCTTGGGCTTAATGCTCTCTGAAGCCTCAATCCTGATGGGATTACATCTTGTGGGGTTACATCTCTGTGTGACTGAGTCCATTCTGGGGTCACCAGTAATGGCAGTGCCAGAGCACATAATATGGCTGTCACCTCACCAAGTCTCTCATTCATAATTGCTTATGTTTTGTGTATAAGGGTATTTCTGTGACTCCATTAAAGCTTCTAGGTGTCTTATTTAAAATAATACATGTATGTATAAATGGCTTACATGTTAAAAAATCAGAAAAAGTGATGGATCGCTGTGTGTTCAAAGTTGCTTCTCATTTTTGAAGTGAAAGACACTGAGGATCTAGCTTGCTGTAAGAGGTTAGCCATGCTTTTGTGGTACTTGTTTTCAGTTTACTCAAGAAAACTCACAAAACACAGATAATTGATCAGGCCATACTTCTTACTTCCTCAGTAATTGTGTTGTCCCCATTTTCTCTTCCAGAAAAAAGGTGCGTTTGGATTGGAATACAGATGCTGCCTCCTTGATTGGAGAGGAGCTGCAGGTGGACTTTCTTGACCATGTTCCACTCACTACACACAATTTTGTAAGCTTTTTTTTTTTCTCTGTAATTTGATGGCAGTTGTATCACTCGAACCACATACTCAGTCAAGAATGTCTTGGGCATTAGATAGCTTTTGACTTTCTGAACATGGAGGGGATTTCAGAAGTGATGGTTTGATTCCTTCACCCCTGCTCTCCACAAATGACTTGTGTGAGTACGTTTGCAATGAAATGTCAGAATTGTATGATGGTTAGTGATTTCTGGGTGTCAGAGACTGAAAGCTCACATGGTGCATGTTCTTCAAAGGTCTGACGATTGCCATGTTTGTTCTATGTAAATACATGGTCTGTAACTGTTGTGTTAGGATATCATGTCTTTAAAGTCAAGGCCTGTGAGATAACTGGCATTTTCAGCTTCTGGTTCATCAGTCAGAAAAGGCTGGATAAGTTCAGCAGCTTTATTGGACTGATGGTTATGTTACCAAATATACAGTTAATTCTGCAGGTCATGATGTTGTTGTGTGAACTGGCTTGGAATTTGACAGTGTTTTAGGGGGGATGAAAGACTTTAGATTTGTAATTTCTTCTCAAAAACTAATTATTTACTCACTACATAGCAAATAATTAGAAAGTGTTTTTGTTTTGCTTAGGGTTTTTACTATTTTTGAAAATTATTTTTACAAAGTGATAATGAACAGTTGTCCCTTGTATTATTTTCTCCTCCCTGGGAAGGAACTCTATTCCTGCTTTTTAGCCTTTTTGTTATTCAGTTCCAGAAATATGTTGTGCCAGTTGACAAAGCTGAAGGATTGTCATTGGCATCCTTTAGAGAAAGGTTAGGATTGATTTACAAAACCTGAAAGTAGCCTTACTTCTACTTCACATTTTTAGAAAACTGCAAAAAATATCATCTGCAGTTGGTCACTAGAAAATGAATATTTTTCTCCAGATCTGGAAGAAGCTCAAAGCTCGGTCCTCTGGCCCAGTATGTTCTGGAGGAGGAAACCCTTCGGTTCATTTTAAGCTTTCTTTCATACTTCAGAACGTTTAAAAAAATTTGAGGCTGCCATTTAAAGTAGAAATTTCTTCAGATAGGAGTTTATTTCTCATGCAAGGAGAATTGGTTAGGCATAAACATACACCAAGGGCTGTTGACTAATAAACTAATGAGGTGGTCCTTAGAATCTCATCCTCCTTCACTTCCTTGGGTTACTACAAACAAACAGGTTCTTGGCCCACCTAGCTCTGTCACTGAGCTAAAGCAATGGCTTTTCCTTTGGACAGAACACTTGTGCTTTTCTTTATTTCTTTCTTTTTTTTGATAAACAAAGCCCTAAGTGTTTGTAAGCTTTCCAGGTTTCCAGCCAAACTGGAAACACATGCAAGGGTATTCAAGTGTGGTTTTGAGTTCAGTAGCAATTTGGGGCACTGATAGCATTTTGACATGCAACTTACTTCAGTCAGGCTCTGAAGGTATAGATCAGTGCCCGAGGAGCAGCTTTGTGGCGTGGATTGATGTTTAACGTGTGTTGCAGGCTCGGAAGACGTTCCTGAAACTTGCATTCTGTGACATCTGCCAGAAGTTCCTGCTCAATGGCTTTCGGTGTCAGACGTGTGGCTATAAATTCCACGAGCACTGCAGCACTAAAGTTCCGACCATGTGTGTGGACTGGAGCAATATCAGGCAACTCTTGTAAGGACTGTTTTGTTTTACTAGCAGCAGTAATTCTCTGGAGCAGACAAGCACCATTTGTTTCACTCTCTCATCGTAGAGAGAAAGTTGGATTGTTGGAAAGTGCAGTCGCTTTGATCAATGTACAGAGTTGTGTATTGATTTCCTGAAACAGCCAGCAAGGATTGTCTGTTCCCAGGGAAGAAGGCCATTTTAATCAAATGCACTTTGTTTTTGCTCTCAATTTTCATATTCTGGGACAAGCAAACCCATCTCCTGAGTGACAGGGCGGTTGCCATAATGCTCTTTGTCTCAACAGAGGGATAACAATTCCTTGCACATAACACTTGTTAGGAATAAAAGTGGTCATAATTCAGTTGGGTTTCAGCTGTTGGAAGTGTTCAGAGCGACCACAACTTCTGACACCCTATCGAAAATGCATGCGATGGTGAGAAAACGGGAGAAGGATAAGACTTTCCTAATATTGCTTGGAAAAAGTTGAATATCCTCATGTTAGAAGTCCTTTCATGTGGATTTTGACCTTAAGTTGTTTTTGTGTCTCTTAGTGTGTTTTTTATAATTGAACTTGGTCATATGGCTATGCATTTTCTTTTACTGACTAGTTGTTGAGTGTAGGATGACTTGTGCCACTTGGTGCTACCTGGATTCAGTAGAACTTAAAAAATCATGTCAGATACCCTTTCAGGAAATCTGAAGTCTGATATAATAAGATTTGTCTCAAGTTGAGAGAGCACATGGAAATCTTCTTTGGGAGTCTGAAGGCAGAGCTTTAGTCATGGCATACACAGAGGGAAAATACAATGTACATATAGGAATGTGTTCATGAAGTTCGTTATGCTGCAAAGAAACAGCCCTGGAAATTTTCAGTTTTTAAGAGCATTGTACAGGAGGTAGTGTAGCAGTTGAAATTGTAATTGTTTTTGTTGATATTTCAGATTGTTCCCAAATTCAAATATCAGTGACAGTGGTGTCCCTGCACTACCTCCCTTGACAATGAGACGGATGCGGGAGTCTGTCTCCCGGATACCTGTTAGGTAAGCTTGTATTTCCTGTCACTTCTCTCTTGGGAAATACAGTTGTTTAAAACCAAACAAAAACCCCAGCAAAAGCCCTCCAATTCCTCCAAACCAGAACAGTCTTACAGAAGATTGGGATGAATGTGCAAGGCAGCACCACCATGTCATTGTGGCTAATGCATACTGTCCTTTCTTGTTCTTAGATTCAAGCAAGGCAAGATTTAAGACTTTGTATCTTGAATTTTTAGCCTTCAAATTCTAAGGGAGAGTATGAAAGGCTTTTTGGAGACCTTTGCTTTCCTGCCTAAGAATATTCAAGGCTCCCTTTTTGGTTTTTTGTGAATTAATTATATTTTAACTGATAAGTAGTGTCCATCAAAGATTTGTCTGCTGTTGGATGATTCACATAAACTAAGGTAATGCTCTGATGTTATGATGATAGATAGGAGTTTGAAGAGAGAACAATGGGAACCAAAAATGTTCCTTTTAAGGAAAATTCGGATACCTAAAGAAAACATTCTTGTAGTTTTAAATGCTAAAACCAGAGTTCCTTTCAGAGAGGCCTGACTCCTGATCCTAACTTGTGCCTGTATTCTCTTCCTTGAAATCCTAGAGGCTGAAGAGGGCAGGTCAGCTTTTGTTTTATCTGCATCCCTTTGAACAGGCTTGGCCTATTCAGGAGTGAGACCCAGAGCACAGAGCTGACCTTCAAATGGTTCTATATATTAATTTATTTCAGTGGAAACTGCAGCAGAATTGAGCTTATGTTCTCTTTGCCATCTTATTCTACTTTCAGTGTCATTGAACAATGACTTCACAGATATTTTAAAAGTTTTTGTGAGGGCTGGTCTATTGCAGTTAAGATACATGTGGAATAAACACGATCTGAGTGATCTTAGCTGTGATTTATAACTCTTTGTGGAACTGGATTTCAGTCTTGGCCTCCTTTTCACTGGTGTTGGGTTTCATGACTTTCTTGCTGGCTGTTCTGTGAGAACCATTGAACAGTCTTGCAAACCTTTACAAATTCAGGGCTTAGCATTAAAAGTAGCTCTTAGCCTATACATTAGCAGGCTTGAAATGAGCAGTTTGTTTGAATTTCACAGACCTGAATTCATCTATCAGAGCCAGATTTTGTCAGTATATTAAATGTTTTGATGGGGATTGAGGTGAACTGTGGCAAAATTTGTCATGGCAGGAACAGACTTATGTTAAACATGCTAGTTAAGTATGTGAGCTGAGAAGATCTTCCAAGTTGGTTCAATTTATTTCTTAAGTTGAAGTGGGAATGATTCAGCTGAGCAGACAGTCACGAAGTTTGTGTGTATGTCCCAGCTTTTTCTGTGTTTGGAATTCTGTGTGTATTACTCTTGGATGGGTTTTATTGAACTGTGTTATTCATTTGCTAGAGGGCAAAAAATAACCACAACTTTCCCTTTCTTTCCTTCTCAGTTCCCAGCACAGGTATTCTACACCTCATGCCTTCACATTCAACACATCAAATCCTTCCTCTGAGGGCTCTCTCTCCCAAAGACAGCGATCTACATCCACACCAAATGTCCATATGGTTAGCACTACAATGCCTGTAGACAGCAGGATAATTGAGGTAATTTTGGTAGGAAGCAAATAACAAAGTTAAACTAAAACTGTGACTGCCTATCTAATAGTCACTGGTTGGTTTTCCTTCTTTGCTTTCTGTCATTTGCTTACTGTTTGCCTTAGTTGGCTGAGTGATGAAGAGTAGAGGTGACACATTTGCTTAGCAAGTTAATAATTCATTCTTGCAGTCTATCAGCTTTGCTGAAGTAATGGGGGGACTTTTGGTGTCTGCAGAGATGTGGTGGAGCTTAACAGTGCAATTTCACAGATCTGAAGAGAAAAATAAGCTCAGTTTAGCTGAAGAAATGCTTATTAGGCATGTCTAAAATGTTCTTTCAAATTTAAAAGTCTTGATTTGTTGGGGGGCTGGTGTTTATTTTAAATTAGACTGCAGGTACTGTTAGTCTGGATGTAGCTTACTGGTGATGTTTTGTGTTACACCTGTATGGAGTGGACAGTGATTCCAGGCTTGTGGGCTATAGCTGGCTGTGTTGGACAATATTGCTGCTGTTACTTGCTTTCTGGCACCTTTTTTCTTGTATATCTTAGGCTAGCAGCAGTGAGGGACAGCTCTTTGAAGTCAGGCCTAAAGTGGTTGGGTTTTTTAATTTTGTGATAGCCTTAAAAGAAGAGAGTGGTGTGCAGGAAAAGCTGGCAGAGAGGCAGTGCTGAGCTGCAGGACCTCAGGGAGCACTTTGGTTTCTTCCTCTGGGAAGATTTAAAAACTCTTGAGGCCAAGCAAAAGCCTTTAACAGCTGAGTTCACTTGCATCAGCTGGTAGTTTATAGGTTGCTATGAAGTGTGAAGACTGAAGTGTGCTAGAGAAGCCCCCTGGACCTTTGGAGCAGAAGAAAAGTGCTCTGCAGCCCCAGGAAATGGTTTTGGTTAGTAGCTTTGTGTCAGCTGGGGTTTGTGGGGAAAGGCACCTTCCCTTTCTTGATGGGTTTTTTAGGCTTACAGGCTTTTTTCCTGCTTCAGAAGCCTGGCTGACCATCTCTTGTGGTACAGAAACTGATGAAACACTCTATGAATTATCAACCTTTGTAGTGGGATGAGCCTTTAAGGAGACACTGCTTTCTTCCTTCTTTATGCAGAACAGTAAAGACAGAAAGGCTTTCTATTCTGGCTCTTCACATTACCATAGGGACTGAATTAAAATAGATGTCATGTCTCAAAGGCAACAGCCTTCTAAAAGCCCCAAAGGAATGAAAAAAAAAGGTAGTAGAGACCTGCTAGTAGGACAGGAGAAAGACCACCTTAATCAAGTGGCTCACCAGAGGATAGATACGAGTGGACTTCTGAGTTTGAGCAGGAATACTTATTTTTAATTCTTACTGCAATTAATTATCATATATCAAGCAAAAGTTGGTTACTTTTTCTTTCATTTATCCTAACATTTAATTTTAAAGGTTTTTTTTTTTATACTTGCTCTGTTCTTTCCTTTTATCTCTTACCGTGTTGGCCTAGAATAACAGCCTGAATGCTTCTCCCAGCTCCTGGTGCAGACGCTTTTGTTTGAGGGGAAGAGTAGGTATTTTCTTGGTGCCTTTTGTTTTCTTGTGATTAACAGGATTGCTATAACTTGTAAGCCATGGCAGTGTCCATGTGAAGTGTTTAATCTGGAGTTGATTTGATGGAAATCTTTCTAGCATGTTTATATTTCAATATCGGGGACACTAATTGGAAGGGGAAAATTGGTAGAAGAGCTTCATTTTTAGTTTATAGCTGGATGAGTTCATACTACTATGAATGGGATTAGGCTTGGATCAGAGATGCATTTGGTCACACAGTTTCTAAAGCAAAGCCTTCTCAAACACATCTATTGTGTGGCTTTTTCCCCTCTGGAAACTATTTTTGAGTATAACCCTACAAAGGCTTTAGATTAAGAACATGTTGTACTGTTTTTATTTCACATCAAAGCGAAGTTGACAGACTACAGCACTGTGTATGGTATTATTTGTGTTGTAAGAACAGTGGTTTTGGTTCATTTGCTGTAGGATTCATAAGTAAAGAAAATACTCCCATCAGGATTGAAGTTCAAAGATTTTCTTTTAAAAATAAGAACAGTATAATATAATTATGAGAAACATTTTAAACTTTTTAGTTATCCTTTGCCAGCTTACCTGAAAGCAGTTACATTCTCAGGCTGATGTACAAAACCCATCACTTGTTCTGAAAGATTTTTGTTGTCCTTAGAATGGACTAAAGTAGTAACTTGCAACAGTTCTTCATTCATAGTTGATGGAGATCTTAATCCACTTAGGCCTTGAGTAGAGATACTATGCAGGAGTACTGTACATAGTCAAGCCTGACAGAATGCAGCTGACTAGCTGAAAATGGTGTTTCATAAATGAGTCTTTGCTAAGGATAGTCTGAGTTGATGTGAAAACTAGTGGAATGTAGGCTTGCTCTGTCCTCCTATGAAGCCTTACATTTGTTATTCTACTAACTAGATAGAAAGTTTGAATTGACTTCTATTAACTTTGCCAGTATTTAACATTTCTGTAGTGCATGTTCTTGCTTTGTACTTACACAGTACCTGGATATTTTACCTTTCCTGTATGTACTTTGGGATAATACCTAGCAGGTGAGAAAAGCTGTAAAGTCCTGTTTTGTCAGAGCTTAGTTCTCTTGTGCATGGCTGTAGAGTTGTGTTGTGCCTGTGGCATGAGGTGAGAGTTGTGGCACTGTACTGACTAGTGAACTGTACAAACAATTCTCAAATAGTGAACTTGAACCTGGGGGGAAATGTGCTGAAAATTAGCAGCTTTTGTAGAAGAGCACTAGATGGAGCCTTTTTAAGGGTGGTGGTGGGTGGTGATGTTGAAATAGTATGGAAGAGATAATTCATAATGTATATTGACTTGGAATATTTTAGGAGCTTTAAAAAGTTTTCCTCCTTGTAAGCCAAAACCTGTTTGGGAACTTGTCCCCCAGAGATTGAGGCAGTCCCAGGAGCTCTGGCCTGACTTGAAACACAAGCATGTGCAAAGTCCATTAGGGGAATGCAGACAGTATTGATGGTGTTTCTTCTTGTTCAGTGTATTTTTTTTTCTTTCCTTTCTGTTTTTGATAGTGATCCCTTTCACTATGCTGTGAAACTTGTTCTGTAAGAGCTCACGAACTGCATGGGTTTAGAATAGTAGATTGTTGTAACTAGCAAATCACTAAGTGTCATTTCTTGAAGGGCTTTGGCCAGTGCTGTGTTGCCTTTGGCCAAAACTGTCAGGACCAATTTGAACACCATTCCTAAAAAAATTCCTGCTTGTTGCTCGCTTACATTTATCGACTTTATTATCTCTCTTCTCTGTTCTAGGATGCAATTCGAAGCCATAGTGAATCAGGTATGGTTGCAAAAAATACAGTCATTTGTAATACTACTGTTAGGGTTTACTACTCAGGTTTCTTTTCTGGTTCATAAATTGGTTTTCTTCTCTTCTTGTATTTAAGCATCACCATCTGCTCTGTCTGGAAGTCCTAACTTATCGACTTTATTATCTCTCTTCTCTGTTCTAGGATGCAATTCGAAGCCATAGTGAATCAGGTATGGTTGCAAAAAATACAGTCATTTGTAATACTACTGTTAGGGTTTACTACTCAGGTTTCTTTTCTGGTTCATAAATTGGTTTTCTTCTCTTCTTGTATTTAAGCATCACCATCTGCTCTGTCTGGAAGTCCTAACAATATGAGCCCAACTGGCTGGTCTCAGCCTAAAACCCCAGTCCCAGCCCAAAGAGAGAGAGCCCCTGGATCCAATACACAAGAAAAAAACAAAATTGTGAGTATGGTAATCCTTGGGGTTTCTCCAAAAAATTGTGTTAAACTAGGCTGGGAGTTAAGGGTGTGTTGGGTTAAATCTCTGTACTTAAAAGGCAATAAAAGCTGCTGGTAATCTTGGATTGCTCTGCACTGGCTGTATAGCAGCAATATAGCTTCACTGACTTAGGAATGATCACACTATTGCCTTGCGTTATAAATACCCAGACAGTAGTGTGAAATTAGTTTTCAGTGCAGATTCGAGGATTAACTCTTAAATTTTTAGGTGCTATGTCATTTTGATTGTTTTTAATATGCTTGAAGTTGGGCTTACCACTATTCAAGCTGCATTGCCATAGCATCCATAGAAAGTGCATATTGATAGTGGCTTCATTTTCATAGTTAAGTTAGGCACAATGTCTCAGGGATACTAAAATGCAAATTTTCCTTCAAAGGTTTGATTTAAACTTAGGACCAGGGGCAAGGAAAGAAAGAAATATTAGAATTATGATGAATGATAGCTTGATTTTTATATTTTTTATTTTGGAAGGCTTCTAAGTTTTCAAAATGAAACTGCAGTTGCTTAGTGGCACTTAGAGCTGTTAGTCACTTAGATGTTTGAGAATTCTACTCTTAGCTTTTGAATCTGTGAAAGAGTTCCAGGATTTGAGCACTGTAATTTTGAAAAAGCCAATAAGTTTCTTATTTAAATTGTCTTTAAATAGTTGATTATAAAGTATTTGTTCCTCTTCAGATCTAAGATTAGTGTTTAAGTTTCTAGTGCAGAACTTAATGATAAATTCTTAAGCAGTTCAGGCCATCCAAGAAAATGGTGGATGGTTGTTTGGGTTTTTTTGGGTAAAAAAGCCCACCACCCCTCACAAATTGAGGAGAAGGCTCAAAATCCAGACTGCAGGACAAAACCCTCTAGGTTTCAGGTAATTTTAAACTTGCATGAAGGAAGTTATTTAATCTTTTGTGTGTATATAGAATATATTTGATTAAAAAAGTGTCAATTTTTGTTCCAGAGGCCTCGTGGACAGAGAGATTCCAGTTATTACTGGGAAATAGAAGCAAGTGAAGTCATGCTTTCAACCAGAATAGGGTCAGGGTCTTTTGGGACAGTTTACAAAGGCAAATGGCATGGTAAGTTCTTGACTACCCCTTCCCAAAATGTTGCAGTGGTGGGACAACACTCCAGAAAAAGGAGAATTTGATGTAAGGGTGCTGTGTGCTCCCAGCAAAGGCACTGGGTGAGCAGTAGTAGCTTCCTTCTTTTGGCAGCACTGAAATGAAGGCAGAGGACATAGAAATCTGAATCTTCAACTACATTGTTCAGTACATTGGAGCCAACATTGATTTCTTTATAACCTGCAACAGCTTCTTTTCTGAAAGATTTTGCCTTCTGTTAGTAGGATTAAATCAGCAGAATTAGCTGGGAAATATCACAGCTTGATGTTCAATTATTTACCTTTTTGAACACCTTTGTGGCTTAATTAGCATCCTTCACTTCGAGGTGGCAGGGAAAGGAAATAAGCATAAATTGCTTTTACTGTGGGGTTTTTCTAAGGAAAAAAAATACTTGCTTGGAGAGTTTGTGATGCATAGTTAGAGGGAATCCTTTGAAAATAGGCACAGTGCAGCACTACAGAACTAGTTTCCAAAATCAGGGGTTGTGATTCTGCAAAGAAACACACAGAAGCCCCTCCAGGCCCTAATTTAAATAGCACTATTGTCATAAAATAAGCTGACAAAACAAAATCTGAACACTGAGCTTCCACCCTCTATTCCAAATGAATAAATACTTGCATGTCTCAGAGCCCAAGTACTGTCAGCATCCATGGAAGGGCTGTTCTTATGCTAAAAGTAATGATCATGAACAATTAAAGTGGTTTTTATTCTGTGAGTGAGTTGGAACACAGAAATCAAGATGATGAGGTTCAATGTCTTCTTTGTGGTAGCTCTTTATAGTTTTCCTGGTTTCTCAGGAAAGTCCAAGTTGAATCACCAAAGTTTTGTTGGTAACTCTTATTTGCAGTGCAGTCTTTAAGTATTTCAAGGCTTATGTTTCTGGCAAGTGTTTTTTGTTTAGAAGTGAAGAAACTGGGAATTCACTGCTCCAATTAGTGAAACTACAGAGGTTTTTAGTAACTTAGTTGTGGAAATGCAGCAATAAGGGCTAAATGAGATAGACTGAATTGGGCAGATTGCTGCAAACTTAGAAGCAATTCTGCACTGAGAGGTGTTGGGTTCTCTAACGTGCTAATTGAAGGGCTGTTTGCAGGGAGCCTCAGAGAGCCCCTGTGGAAGATGATGGATGACTATATGCAAACTGCATGAGCTTTCCAGTAAGCTTCCCTGACAGCCTTCCAAAATGAAAATGAAGTGTGATGGTCAGTGTTGCTCTGAGGAGTGTGTATTTCATTGAGCAGGGATCTTGCACTTCCATATCTTTCTGGATTGTTCTGATGGTTAAGTACTCATTTTGCTGTTTGCAGCACTTATGTTACAGACCCTTGGTCCTGTAGTGTCCTGGAGCAAGCTTCTAAACTTTAAAGGTGGAAAGAGAACCAAGGCAGTTTAAATAGGTTGGAAGATTACCTGTCACAAATGCTCCCATTTCTCCCTTGGCTCTGGTAATCTGTTTTAGGCATTGGGGGTGGTGGAAGCTAATTTGCAAACAAAACCAAGTGCTATTCTGTATATGTTTCAGTAGAGATAACAGCTTGGGAAATGCCATCAAGTGTGGCACCTGGTTCAGTAAGAACAGTGTAAGCTTAAAAACATCTTTTCTCCCATGGAGCAAGGATTAGAGTGGGAAATAAATTGAAAGATATCTGAACTCTGGGACTGTAGTAGGTGGTTGCTGCATCCTTGCCTTGTCTGGGCACAGCTAACAGCAATGTGCTTGAAGTACTGCAGGCCCATCTGTGGTGTTGCACTGTACACTGGGGGAGCTGCAGTAGGGACTGGTTAATTCTAAGCCTGTGATTTTGGTCATATCAAAGTGTAATCTTTCTGTTACATCCTCCTGTTCTGGTCTGGGAGCAGAGACACCTGTGAGTTACAAAACATCATGCACACTGTGAATGCCATGTGATTCTCTTACTGAAGATGCTAGAGGGTGGAATAGGGAGTATATTGCATTTACTGAAGATAGAGAAAGGCAATATAAATCTATAATAATGTGTTCAGTATTTCTGCATCTTTGTGATTTCAAATTGTACTGCAAGTGAAGCAACTGGTAACTTCAGGGGAAGACACTGCAGTTCATCAGGGTACCCTGGAACTTTCAAGTGCCAGTTTGCATCTTCTTCTTGCACTCTACTGATAGCTCCTTTATTTTTACTTGATTGGTTAGTATTGCTGATGTGTTCAGCTGATCATTATATTTTAGAGATATAACTTATTTTTCATGTATCTTCAAAAAGAGATCAGATTAAGAAGAAAATCAGTGACTGTGGTAGCAGGTAAATCTGTCACTCTAGGGGTTTATTTCTCCATGTAGGTGATGTTCAGTGACAGCAGCCTTTAAACTGTGGGATAGGCCATGTTTGGGGTGTAGCACCTGTCCAATTTTTTACTGCCTGTGGACTGAGGTTTCAGTGTTCCTAAGTTGTTTTAACTTCCTGTGACAGTGTCAAGGCAGGTTTTATCCCTCTCTTGACCTCTGAAATGCTGCCCAGCTGTAGTTAGTTAATGGAATGCTTTCTGCTTTCACTGAGGAATCTGTGGGTCTTGCTGCTTGTGCTTTCCTGTCTGTTAGAACAATTGGTTTCACTCCACTAGTGCACCTGCTTTGACAAAATCAGTTCAGTTCTGGTGTTTTCTGGATGTGCACTGTAAAGGATTTTACAGCTTCTTTCTCTAGAGACAGTCTCTAAACAGCACTGAATCAGCTGACTCTCCCCTGTTTTCCCCTTTAGCAGACAGTGACACAGACAGGAGTGCAAATGAAGATTTTAATAAAATGCATCATCTTAAAAAACAGTAAAATCTTTTGCTTTCCAGAGTCCTCAAATTTCTTTTTGCAGTACTAAAATCAGGTATATAATTCATGATGTTTCTGCTGTTCCTGAAGATAATTTATCCCTTCCCTTCCTAAATTTAGCAGGATCTAAATCTAGAAAGTTTGCTTCTTAAATAAGTCATGTAAAAAGGCATGTGTTTGTGTGGACATATATCATTCAGATACATATGAACACTTCGGTATTTAAACTTAATTATAAAACTACAAAAGTGTTTATATATATATATATGCAAAGGAAAACGGGTGATACTTTGGATACTGTTTGGAAGCTGAGGTACTGATGTGACTGTGCTTGAAATGATGTGCTGAGGATACACCAACACCAGACTACCTTCCTTTGCAACAATTGTTTGAGACTTCAGTACTTTCATATCCTGCAAGAAGCATTCCTGAGGTTCTAGCCAGTTATAGCTCCTGAAAAATAGATGTGAGCAATTAATGATGTTTTCCTTCAGACTGAAATTCAGGGAAATTTTTTGATACTTATAGAGGTTTGTGTTTCTGCAGGAAAATCTTAACCTGTGTACAAGTTTGAGGTGTACTGTGCACAAATAAGGAATGTAAAGGATACTATATATTGATGTCATTTTAGAGACAGGGGGAACAAAGCAGCGTTTTTAGTAACTTCTGTGGTAAATGTACTTTCAGGGGATGTGGCAGTGAAGATACTAAAGGTTGTAGATCCAACCCCAGAACAGTTCCAGGCTTTCAGAAATGAAGTGGCTGTGCTAAGGTGAGTTGGTCGTTTCACTGCTCTAGACTGTTATTCCAGGGCTCTGCATTTGACTCCTTCCCCTTCTTTAAGCTGTCCTGCCCAATGTTCTGTGTTCGACACATAAAGCAGAGCTCCAGAGAAGAACTAAAGTGGCTAGTGATAATTCTGAGTATTGCTGGGGAGCTGTGTTCTTTGCTGACAAAAGTGATCTTTTCAGTGCCCACACCCCAGTTGCTCAGGTCACGTTTGGCATGCAGTGAAAGGGGAGGATTCATAAATTCTGCCATAATTCTTACCACCAGACAAAATACTGGAATTGTACCTCTTACAATTGCAGCATAATAACTTTTTAAATCCTTGAACATATACTTTGATCTGCACAACTGTTTTCTGCTTTCAAATACTGCTCTCCTTAGTGTCCAGTGAATTATCTGGGATGTTACTGCTCCTGAGCCACTTAGATACTTAAGAACGACCAGACCATCTCAGAATTCCTGCACAGTTTATAATGACCCTCTAGTTTCCCCTTGGGATTCAGTGATCTATCTGAAGTTGTCACTTTTTCACAGCTTTTGGAGTGATTTCTGTTATTCCAATAGCTTCTAATACCACTTGCAAGTGAGTGTTGGTTATGAATTTCCAAACACTTGAATTTTTGTGGCATCTTTTCTAAAAGGCTGATTTAAATAACCTCCTGCACAGTTTATAATGACCCTCTAGTTTCCCCTTGGGATTCAGTGATCTATCTGAAGTTGTCACTTTTTCACAGCTTTTGGAGTGATTTCTGTTATTCCAATAGCTTCTAATACCACTTGCAAGTGAGTGTTGGTTATGAATTTCCAAACACTTGAATTTTTGTGGCATCTTTTCTAAAAGGCTGATTTAAATAACCTCCTGAAAAAAGTAAAAGGTATTTTTAAAGGTAAAAGGTAAAAGTACTTTTTAAAGGTAAAAATATTTTAACTAAAAAGCAAAAAATCTGTTTTTATTTTAAAAAATGGGCAACTCTAGAGTATTTTTATTACTTTTTAAAGCAAATTTTACTTACACGTCCACCTAGGAAAAATTACGCAGGAAACTCATGTTTTTGGACTCCAAAGCCAAAATAAATCCATCCAGCCAGGAATTCAGTTTAAAGAGACTGTAAAATATTTGTTACCAAGCCACTGATTTCTTTTCCTGCTGCTTTCTGTTAGGAAGACTCGGCATGTCAATATTCTGCTCTTCATGGGCTACATGACCAAGGACAACCTGGCCATTGTCACCCAGTGGTGCGAGGGCAGCAGCCTGTACAAACACCTGCACGTCCAGGAGACCAAGTTCCAGATGTTCCAGCTGATCGACATCGCTCGGCAGACAGCACAGGGCATGGAGTGAGTAGCATAAACACTGCAGGCTCTTTGTGTCCTTGCAGTGTTTTCCTTTCCTTCCCCAAACCCTGATATGTGGAGTTGTGCTAAAATAGTAATAACTCAAAGTGGTGTAGCAAGGAAAGGTTTGTGCAGCCTTAATTCAGCACTGTTGGATGCAGTTGTACTTGCAGTTGTAATCTTTCCCCATGGATTCTTGCCTTAGTTCATGTTAGATCACTGGTTACTTATCAGTCAGCTTTTCTCTATTTTACCCTCTTTTCTAGCTTGAGGTCTTATAACACAGTAGAGGATATCCTGTTCCAAACACAGAATGAACTGTTTTGTTCCCTCTGTTACTGTGAGTTGTGGTTGACAATGATTTATACTCTCAGTACTCCTGTGAGAAGAGGGATTGGCTGTTCCCACTCCACAGCCACAGGTCTCACACAGATATATTTTGGAAGCATTCTCCAGGTGTCTGTACCACCTCACTACTCTTTCAGAATGTGCTATGATGTTAGTGGCACAGAAGATGCTGATCCTGTCAGTGCTCATCCATTTTGGAGATCAGACCTAGGTTTCCAGTCAGACACCCAGAAAACTAGGGACATGTAAATGAAGGGGGTTGGTGAATAGGAGACCTTAGCACAGGATCCAGATTTCAGGCCTGTGAGGACAGCCCCAGGTTTTCAGGGCATTGCATGGTTAATGCCATTTTCTCTTCCTGAGACTGAGGTACTGCATTGGGCACACTGAGTAATGCATAAGGCAGTAGGAGTCAGCTACTAGTGCTTGCTATGTTTCCTTGTTCCCAAAGTAGACTCATCCTGTAAACTCAAGCAAAGCAAGAGGTATGTGCAGTGGTTGAGTGTGTAATGAAGTGTCCTGGTGTCTGTGGGTAAGTTAAAAGGTTGTTTTTGAACAGCCTTTGTAATGGCATTCTGCTTTGTCCTCCACAGCTATTTACATGCAAAGAATATCATCCACAGAGACATGAAATCCAATAGTATCCTTTGAGTCCTGTTTCCTTCAGTGTGGGACTAGTTTGTTGTTAATATGGAGCTTTTTGAGGGGGCTGAAATAGCTGTTTCAAATTTATATATCTATATACAACTAGCAATGAGTGATTCCTGTGGATGGGCAAAGAGTTGCTTTTTAGCAAGGACTTCCATAGGACACGTGTTGCTTGCCAGACTGTTGGGATAAAGATGTGCAACAGTTGTGCTCCAAAAGTGTCTTCTCTTACTCAGATGGTGTTGATGCCATTCTGTGATGCCCAGATGCTGTGCTGGGGAGAAGCTGATGGGAGATGTGTGTGTGCATGCTGATCTGGGAGTGCACGTGTGGGGCTTGTCACTGCTCCTCAGGTGTTTGGAATATATTTAGAAAACCTCACAGAAACGAGGCCAAAAATCTTACACTCTAAGTGGCCTTTTACCACTGTATTTCCTGCAACAATATAAATTCAGTAATGTGTATGGAACAGAAAATGTTGTGGACTGATGTCTTCTGCCTTTGCAAGTGGCTGCTCTTGGAATTGCCAAGGACATGCATTGAACCAGAAGCAGAAATTGTGGCTTCCTGCCTAAAAATGTGAGCAGAATGCTTTGCAAATGGCATAATCAAAAAAATGCCAAATTCAGTAGTTCTGTAAGGTCAGGGGTTTCCCATTTTCAGTTAAACGAGGCAAAGAGTGCATAGGAGTTCAGGGGTTTGGAATTGCTCAGAAGGACGAGCATGTTTGTGAACCAAATTAGCTCTTCTCCTGATGTGGAAATGAGAAGTATGCCATGTTTATCTTCCTGAATCATCTTTGAGAACTTAAAACATTCCTAAGTGAAATTGTTAAATGGAATCTTCTTAGAATAACCCCAATGAGCAAAGCCTGTCAATCTAAACACACAGCAGTACACACACGTTGCCAGTTAACAGCAGTTATGTACCTGCAGTCATTGATGTTAATTAACACTGTTGATTTCTGTCCTAACTCGCCATAAAGATAAATCTGTGAATCATTATAAAACATCTGGTTTAGTTTTAAATGTTAACTCAGCCATGAAATTACTTTTTCTGTGCATAAGATACAATTCATAGCAGATTTGAATGAAATAACAATATTGTTGGACAGTATTTGTGATAACCTAAGCAGACACTTTGTAATCATGGCAGAAGATCTGGAATTGGTTGCTCCAGGTTTTGTTGCAGCGTTTCTTTAACAAATATTTAGATATATTTCTTCATGAAGGCCTCACAGTGAAAATAGGAGACTTTGGTCTGGCAACTGTAAAATCCAGGTGGAGTGGATCCCAACAGGTGGAACAGCCCACTGGCTCGATCCTGTGGATGGTGAGCAAAACCTTTCACTTTCCATTAGCTTTTCTTTTGCTTGTAGATTTTGCCAGTTGAACACAATTTTAAACATTTCACTTTAAGTGACTCACCCTGTACTGTTAGTACTGTGTAGTTTTTTTTTTCCAGTTGATGCTGTTAGTACTGGGTAGGATGAGTTAAAACTGAAATGCTAGAGTGCTTAGATGTCTAAAGTAGACTGTTTGTGTTTTGAGCAAAGCCAGGATGTGTTCATGAAGAATATCAGGATGCTTGGCCAGGGGTGGTTTGTGCTCTGTAAAATACACACATCACCTGGAACACAGTTCCAAAAGCCAAATTTTTTTACAACTTTCTATAAAAGGATTTCAAACTAACTTACCTTTGCCTGTGTACACAAGAGATCTTGGGAATTGCCCCTTTGCTCTTTGCTGGTTTATCTTGTGATTTGAATCATTTATAGGCCCTCTCTGCTGAGCTGTCATTACACAGAAGGAGAGGTGTGTTCTGTTTCCTTGAGAGCTGCTGTGATCCCTAGCTGGGGTTTTGTGCTGCTGTACTTTAGCTAGTGCTGTGCACAGTAATTCTGAGGGAATTGTTTAGGGGAAGAGTCAAGGGAAAGTTTTACTTTGAGTATTTTAAATTTTTTTTTTAATATCTTGTTTGTTAAATAATTCAACATTCAGTTGCTTGGCTTCATAATTTTGCTTTGTTTTGCAGAGGTGCTAGAATGCCCCTGCATTTCTTCCCTGGTCTTCAATATATGCTATTTCATATTTGGCTTTCATATTCCATGCAAATGTTCTGGTATCAGTTTGCAAGAGATGAAGTCTGGATTAGACTTTTACATCCTTCCCCTTTAGCATCGATACCTTTGTAAGAACTGCTGGTGAGAGACTCAGGCTCAGATCTGTGTAAGATGGAACAGAAGTCAAACATTGCAAATCTGAATACTAGTAATTTTTCTAATGGCAAAAGCTTGTTCAGTTAAATCACTGCTTTTCTGTGTGCTCTCAGGTCTGTTGATTTTCACTAAGCTGCAGAGTAGCATTGCCTGAACTCTGCCAGAGCCTTGGGTGAAACTCAGCAGAGGTTTTGAGGTGCCCGGTGATCGCTGTTTTTTAGTTGAGCTCACTCGTTGTGCTTTTCAAGTATTTTCCCTCTCCTGTCCTTTCTGTTTCCAAGTTCTTTACTGTTGCCCATGATGTGTTTGCTTCCTCTCCTTCCCCAGGCTCCAGAAGTGATCAGGATGCAGGACAGTAACCCGTTCAGCTTTCAGTCAGATGTCTACTCCTATGGAATAGTATTATATGAACTGATGACAGGAGAGTTGCCATATTCCCACATAAACAACCGAGATCAGGTGAGAACAGTCTCTGAACACTGCATTTTATTTCTGGGCAGAGCTTTGTCCTCTAGAAATGTAGGATAAAGACAAGTGCAAACAATTGAAATGTTGTTTACAAGATGATCTGTTTCAGCAGTAGTTCTGTGTAACTGAATGTTCACTTCAGTATTGACAGTGACAGTTGCTCCTTTTCTATAAACATTTTAAGTGCCCTGTTAACTTATTCACAGGTAAAATCTTGGTTTATACGTTTGCCATGATGTGAAATCTCCCTTTTGATGTTAAATATACTGTTCTTATCAGCAAGATTGGATTTTGTGCTTCTTACTAAGGGAAAAAATAGTGGCTATTGTCAAACCTTTTAGTACTGAATGTGTGATTTAGCCTTTACTAACCTGTATTGTAACCAGTCAGTTAACCAGGCATTGTAAAGAAGTAGCACATTATGGCCAGAAACCAATTTTTCTCTTTCCATAGATAATCTTCTCCTGGCTTAGCCAGTGTGGAGCCAACTTGTTTTGTAGGGCATGAACTCAAGGCTGTTAGATCTTTGTGATCTCTGTTTTGCTGATCCTCAGCTTGTGGTTGGTGGTTTTGGTTGGTTTTTTCATAAATAAGATCTCATGAGAAGCGTGTGTATGGGCACACAGGACTAGATTTTAGCCTGTTAGTATTGTAGTCTGCAGTAACACACAGTCTGTGCTCCAAGTAGGAGAAATCAGTTCTGTTAAGGAAGTCTTTTCTTATTCTAAGGTTGTCTGCAAACTGGGATATTGGAATGTTTGGATGATCTCTTTCAGCTGTGCATCTCCCTTTGCACCATGGTTGAGAGAGAACCTGAAAACCCAGTTGTGTGAATCCCTTATCCCAACAGCTTAATCTCCTGCTGGATTTAGCTGTTGTGCCAAATTAGCCAAATGCTCAGAACTGCTTAGCCTCAGGGGCATTTGTCATTGCAGCTGAGGGAACTGCCATGCCATGGAGCACCAACAGTTCCTTCTCTTGCTGAGCATTCCAAACCACAGGGTCACTGATTTAATCCCATCCTACAGGACACGGCAGGACCACTGTCTTGGTTAGTTCATTTGTACAAGTCTGCAGGGCTCTGCTGGCATGTGAGTGCCTTTGGTACTCAGCTTTAGCCACTTTGGGGCACTAAAGCTATTTACCAGTGAAACCACCTTTATAACTTCTGTTTTCTGCTGCTTGCTTGTTGCTTTTCAGATCATTTTCATGGTTGGCCGAGGGTATGCTTCTCCAGACCTCAGTAAGCTGTACAAGAACTGTCCTAAAGCAATGAAGAGGCTTGTAGCAGATTGTTTGAAGAAAGTTAGGGAAGAACGACCTCTGTTTCCACAAGTGAGTGTGTTTTCTGCATGTGAGTTCCAGAGTGTGGTAGAAATGATCATTAGCACACAAAAGAATCTACATAGACAGAAGTTTTGGGTTATATGAAGGTGCAGCCTGCTTCCTATTTCTGCCTGTATTCATAGGTGCATTTCCACACCCCAACCTCTTTGGCAGTTTGTAGCCCTGATTGTGTGTGGTTTCTGTAAAGGCCAAGAAAAGTGAAGCCTGCAGGCTGGAGCTGTGCTAACACTAGAGCAGGTTGTTTCTCACAGTTTAAAGATAAGCAAAACTACCCTAACACCACAAAAATCATCCCTATCGCTGCAGATGCATTTTATATGTGTAGGTATGAGGGAAATGAGACCTCTCCTCCTCCCCCACAAGCAAACAAAACCCACTGGGGGATGTATATTCATGTAGAAATTGTTGGTATTTTTCCAAGGGCTGCTTTACAAATGTTTTCTGTCACTATGAGGATGATGAAGATACTTAGCCTTATTAAATAGCTGGAATTAAATGCCATATAATGCACAGACTGTTAGGCAGAAGATGCAATTCTTTCCCTGTTGCTCTGTTGGAGGATTGTTTACATGTGTGTTAATTGATCCTAATGTCTGTGAACTAAGGAAAAGTGCCCTCCCATCCTCTGAAACTCGGGGAGGCTCCTCACAGCCAGGAGGGTGGATGGCAGTTGGATTATTCCAGCTGGAGTGGTACTCTCAGTGCCTCACATTGTTGCTCTTAAAGATATGCTTAAAGCCATAATAAAGGAAGGTCTAAGGCTGAAACAGAGTTGCTTGTCCAATGAGCCTTCTGCTCACTGGCTGTGTTTCCCTCAGATCCTGTCGTCCATTGAGCTGTTGCAACACTCTCTACCCAAGATCAACCGGAGCGCGTCGGAGCCCTCCCTGCACCGCGCGGCACACACGGAGGACATCAACTCCTGCACACTAACCTCCACGAGACTGCCTGTGTTCTAGGCTCCTGCTCCCCTGCCCTCCTGCTCCCCACTCGTGGGAAAGAACACAAGTAACAAGTTGTGCTTTGAATGCCTCAGTGTACAGGATCGGTGCCAGCAGGAGTATCTGCATCCCAGTTTTAAAAACAAGCTGCTAAGGATTCGTGCAGTTCTCATCCTGCAGGGACACAGCTCCTCATTGCCTTTTCTACCATCTCTTCACTGGGATAGGTAACAGACTACAAATCAAGAGATCTATTACTATTTTTTTAATAGATGCACTTGAGCCTTATTTTTCCCCTCCCTGGAAGCGATGGATGTGTTTGGCAGTGGATCTGAATTGATCTGATGTCCATTAGCAGGTGTTGCCCACAGTCAGGATGGCTCTGAGGACAGGTGGTGGTGCTCTGATTGCCCCATGCCATGTGCCACTTCTTGTTGGGGCAGTTGTGCCTGAAATGGGTCTCTGCAAACAAGACTGAGGGAAGAGGAATAAACTCTCTGGAAATCAGCTCCTGCCTAAGAGCTTTCATCAAGCCAATGAAATAAGTTAAGATGCTAATTCAACACAAAATAGTTTTGCAATAGTTTTGCACATAGAAGAAAAACTCTTGCAAAAGAATGGAATGTGTTCCAAATTGTCCTGCTCAGAGAAGGAAGGGAGCCAGTCCTGCTGTGGTGATCTTCAGGAGCCTCACAGCTGACTTTGGTACTATGGAGCTGTTCCCTGCAGCCCAGCAAGGTGGTGAGTGTAGAAACATGGGCTTTGGGGCTGGAAAAGGCTGAGGGACACTATCCATGTCCTGCAGGGTGAGTGCAGTCTGCATCCCATGGGAAGCTGTCGTCCAAGAGATGCACTATCAAGAGGAAACTGAGCATATACAGTTTTTCTTGCTGATTTGGGTTTTAATTTTGTTTTTATTGCTCCTGAGAAAATGCATTTATTGTAAGCCAAGGTTCCTCTGATTATCTTATTTTAATAAAATAAATTAAATTTTAGGTTTAAGATTCAATGTCATCATTTAATGTAGCAGTTCTGACTGGTACAATGAGATTTGGGAAACTCAAAAATGACATTCTGATAACTTCTAAAGGTTACTGTGATAGGTAATAGCAGTTCAAGTAAAAATGCACTCAATACACAACCAGCTCTGTTTCCAGTCACCTCCATGACAAGACAGTGTTTACTCTAAGTCTTTCAGCAGCACATACTTAAGACACTTACACTGATGGTTCTCAAGCTCTTCCACTGCACCAGCTTTGCATTTTATCTTGATGTTTATTTAGGTGGAAGTGTTTTGTTTTGGCTGAACTCCATGGATGGCAAAAATAGGTGGTTTGACCTAAAAATTGGTTTCTCTAAATAGCAGCCTGTTTAAATATGTTTATTAGGGCATGAATGGAAGCCCAGTTTCCATTGGAGTGGGAGCTTGGGCTTTTGCCTTGCTCTGTGAGTCCAGGTAAGTGTGGGGCCCTAGCTGAGGTGCAGTGAGTCACCCCTGTCACCTCAGTGTTGGGCAAAATGACTTCATTGTGAATTGTGATGGGTCCTGTGTCCCTGCAGCATCCAAACAGCCACTGCAGCTTCTTGTTTGCTGCAGCAAAACCCCCAAGCACTGGGGACAAGTTATCTTCTTAATTTCAGACTATTCTTCCCTGATTTATGGCTTCTTGGGGCAAAGTCTTATCAGGAATATCTTGTTTAAGGTAAAGAACATCCTCTCCATTGACCTTTTTGGTGTATTTTATTACTGACAATATTTCCTCTCTGGAAAAAAAATGTGCAAGAGCAGCTAGAAGCAGCTTCAGTGAGAGGCTAAGAGCTCTGTAAGTATTGTGGGGTAGAGAGGCTGCTTGGGCAGGTGCTCTTGAACATGCTTAGAGGATGACATCTCAGTGATAAATTATCTTCCTTCACCTTTGTAATTAGTGATGACTAATTCCAGTAATGTGCCTTAGTTGAGTCAGACCTTTGCTGGTGCTGCCATGGGCCAGTTTTACAGAGAAGCTGACAAGGAAAGGGTTACAGATACTGGCAAGGCAAGGCCTGACTTCACATGAGGCACTGCTAAAAATTAACTTCAGGGGGCAAATAATTATGGAAAACTTATGTTTCCCTGATCAGAACAAAACTGGCATGTTCAGTTGGAGGGAAGTGTTGGGCAGCAGCGAGCTGAAAGTTCTCCCTGTGCCACTGGAACCCTTACCCAGATACAGTATTGCCATCCAAAGTGTTTCTCACTTCTGCCCCAGGAGTGAGATAATCCTGCAGTCCCTCATTTGGTGCCATTTGAAGTGTTTAATCTGGGATTCAAGGTTCCTGTTGTTTGCCTCACTGGGGTTTCTGCCCCAGTGTCTCTAAACACACTTTGCCCCTCAGTACAGCTGATTTCTGCCCTTTCACCCCTGCAACTCTGACACCCTCAGGGCTTGCTGCAGCCTCAGCCTGGCTTGTGCTTGGGGTGTCTGTGCTGCTACTCAGCAGCCATTTCATGTGTGTCCAGACTGAACTCTTAGTTTAACTGCAAAATTCATACAAATGGCTGGGCAGGATTGACTTCTTGTATCAAATTTCACAATCAAATTGCTTTTGCAGCACAAACACGAATTACATTTTTGACAAAAATAGAATTCAGTAACAATTCTGTTAGGTCAGCAGAGATGTGCCTCAATCCTTCACCCCTCCTGGGCCTTTCACAGTGCTGGCCTTGCTCTGGAAGGCAAATGGAGACAGAGCTGCTGCAGCACCACTCCCAGTTCTGAGGCAGGACTGTGGACATGGTTACTGGTACAGTTTCCAAGATGCAATCTATGCTGTAAGTTCAGTTTAGCTCTGTTGTGACTCCAGCACTGCCCTGCCCCAGTACATGAATGAGTGCAGCTGTATTTGCTGTACAGCAGGTGCTCCAAGAGCCACAGCCTGCCTCTGTGCCCTGTAATTAGCTGAAAACAAGGGTGGGCCCTCAGCTGGCACTGCCTGTGCCAGCCAGGCCCTGCCCAGCTCCATTCTGAGCTCCAGGTACCGTTTGAGGTATAGTGTATTAGTTCCTAAGTCTCCTTCCTAAGGAAAAAAAACACCTACCCTGACCATGATTCCCAGTGGGTTTTGTAGCTACACATTTAGTTGATTTAGTGGAGGGGGTTAAAAAAAAAAAAAGCATTCAAACTCTATTCAGCAACAGTTTTTACCAGCTTAAGCTTTAACTGGAGCTGTATTTACACCACCACTCAGCTCACAAGACAGCATATGTTAGGCCTGAGAGGGAGAAAACCCTCTTAAGGGATTTTTTTCCATGCAATCATTTGATTTTTTTTTTTTTAAATATATTTTAGTATTTTTGTTGCCATAGAAAAACTACCTGAAAACTTTATCAGGACTGCACAAGTAAGCCACAGGGCACATCTGTTCTACCTGTGCTGTAGAAAGTAAAAGCATGGCTAATAAATAGCTGCATTGCTGGGGGTGAAAGGGCCTTTGGTTCTTTTTACTGAGAAGTAGCAGAATCCTCCTCAGCCCCAGAGAGGTGCATGAAGAGTTCCCCAAGTTCTGTGACATCCTCGTCAGTGCTGGCGACAGTCCTGCTCTCCCTGTCCTCAATGAAGTCCCACAGGCGCACGGAGTTGAAGAACTGGAAGACAGAAAAACCTGCCTAAGCATAAACCAGTCACAGCACAGAGTGTCCCTGTCAGGCTTATTTCCTCCTTACAAACGAGGCAGAAGGTGAGATTCCAAAGGTGGCTTGTGCTGCTGAATTCAGGGTGACAGCCACTCCCTTTACTGTCGTGGAGGAACACAGGGAGTGCCCACGAGCTGTGGCTGCACTAAGGCTGCTGTGGCCACAGGGGTAGCTGAGCCATGAGCAGTTTCTGAGGAGGCTTTAAGCCTTATAGCTGCCCTTAGTGCCAGCTCTTTGCAGGCAAGTGAGCTGAGTTTTTAGCACTGTTGGTGAAAGCTGTAAGAATTCCCATGAGGAATGGTTTGGCATGAGAAGGACTGGTTGAAAACATAAAGCTTTAATATTTTGCTATTAAATATGATGTGCCTTCTCATTTCCCTGAGAACAAACCTTTGCCTCAGGGAGCACTGAGGGGTGGCATGGAACATACCTAAGCAGTACAGACAGGTTACACTGCACTGGGGTTTCAGTGATGTGTGACCACAGCATCCCCTTACCCGCACAGTCCCCTCAGAGCTCAGCTGTTTCCTTGGTTTCTCAGGCTCAGCTCGTGTCCCATCTGGATAAGCATGGAGGTAAAGACACTTCCCTCCAAATGGGCATGTTCCTTTCCCTTGTTCAAAGTACTTGCAGGGCTTTTTCCTGTTTTAAATTAGAAGACAGAGTTATTGCCTTCAGCTGGAAAGGAAGGAGATGCTATTCCATCCCCATATGGCTGCTTGTCTCAGCAGGCCCATACCAACAGCTTTGGCCTCCCATCCCCTAACTGGAAGCAGCCAAAATAGACGGGAAAGATCATTAAATGCAAACATATAAAGTTATCAGCATCATGAATCACAAAAACTGAAATGTGGAAAGTGAAGGATGTTCAGAGAACATCCCAATCAGTCAATCCATTTTGTCCACACAGGACTACTTTCTGCTACTAAGTTTTTATGAACTAGTTCCTCTCCTCATCTCCTCTGGAAGTTCTTGGCTATTTTAAGTTTCCCTCAGCTTTGTTGTTCAACAAAGCTGTCCTGGCTGGGCAGCAATGTGTTACAGAGGTCATACAGCAGTACCTGGGAGTGGGGGTGGATTGTTCTACAATGAAAAACAGCTGAAGAGTAAACTACAGGGAACTTGCACTGGAACTTGTAAAATTAATATGCAAATAGTGATGAAAGTGGTTCCTAAGACACAGATACTGTCTATCAAATAGCAGCTACATGGAGAAGAAAGCTCAACACTGACAAACAAAAACCCCAACCAAACAAACCCAAAAGAGGCAGTGTGTGAAAAGCAGAATGAATTTGTCTGGGTTTGGGACTCAAGTGCTCTGTGACTTCCTGGATTCTAGGTGTGACTTTTTTCATCCTGTGCTGGCATGACCCCAGAGCTTAGACTCCACTTTATCAGCATTTCATTAGCATTTTTTAATTCCACACCACACTAAATCCTCAAGTAAACTGACTGCCAAGAGGTTTATCCATAGAATTTTTGTACCAAAGACAATGCATTAGGCTTAGCCGAGCACTCCAGCAAAGCTTTTTATGCCTCCCCTATACAACAGTTTGACTTGTGAGTACAACTGATGACCTCAATTCAAAGTCCTTAGGATAAAATGAAAACCAAACCAGCATGAGGACAGTGAAAACAACCCCTGGCTGAAGACCTGCAGTTTAAAGTGACTAACTTTATTCCAGTATTTTGCCTGACTAGAAGACAAAACCAGACACGATGCTGGGTTAAATGTTTTCAGCAGCAATTCTGCTGTGCTGCAACAGCCCTTCAAGCAGCTGAGAAGCAGCAGCAGCAGCCAGGCACAGGCCTAAGGCCCATTTTGTCCTGTACTCATGTTTTAGGGTTGGTGCACAACCCTCAGCAAAACAGGCACTGCTCACTGGGGTCAGGTCCAGCTCTGCCTCTTTACCTGGAAAACAGGGAGCAGGAGGTGACTGTATCTTACTGCTCTGTGCACTGCACAGCCCTCACCTTCTGCAGAGCTGCTGTAGCACTGTTCATCCACAGCCCCTCCAGTGCTCCCAGCACTTGGACAACACAAGGAATGCAGTCTTGGAGAATCTGCCACTTCCAGCAGCCATGACAAAGCCAGTAAATTTTTAGCCCATGTTGCAAAAGACTATTAAGTCTTCCTGGTTTGTTCTCCCCAGTAACTAAGAACCTTCCAGGCAGTTATGGCTGAGGGATCAACAGAAACCACATGAAGCTGATTTTGGCAAGTGAGCTGAAACAGCTTCAGCATTTCAGAGCACAGTGAGGGTGAATAATTTCTGATGTATAGTTAGAGGACAGACCCTTTTGTGACAGCCACAAGGTTCAGCCGGAGTGTGAGCATGCAGAGTGGTCTGTAACTGCTGAAGTGACAATGCAGCTCTGCAGTGACTCAGTCTCGGTGCATGCACAGAACAATGTACAAAGTGTTTGTGGTTACTGAACGCACCCCACTCCCTGCTTAAACGCTTCAATCAACTCGTTCTTCTTCTCTTGGTCTTCTACCCAGTACACACTGGGAATGACAAACTCGGATATCACTCGGCACTCCGGGCAGGACCTTAAAGGGACAAGACAAAACAGTGACACTCTGTTACCTTCTGAGTGACACCCCCCAAGAAACCTGCCAGAAGCAGCTTTCTCCCAAGGGAAAGGGAATGATTTGTCACACAGACACCTCCTCCCATGCTAGCACAGCATATTTCTGTGTGCATTTGTTGGGAGTTTCAGCTGCAATAATTCATCTCTGTGCAGCCAGGGCTGGTGTGGGTTTCTGGACTTGAACAAAAGCAACAGGTATTTATTTCCTCAGTCCACAGAAACCTGCCCAACAGGCAGAAACAAACTGTTCTGTGTGCTGCAGCTCCCCTGCAACAGAAAGCCAAACCAGTGGAAAAACACAAAGGAAAGTGTCTCAGCCTTTTGAAATGCAACCTGACTCCTACCAGCAGTGATGAGTTGTTCACTGAGTGGCTTCTGAGATGCGTATCTACCTGAGGAACTAAGATCAACAATCAAATACACAACTTCAGGCACCTCAGCAATCCTAGGAAAGGCTCCAGTAAGTCCCATAAAACCCTCTGTCTCCCAGCAGACAGTACAACTAAGCCAAGTCTCTGCTTTGGATTAGTTCAGCCACAACCAGTAGGTTCACAGTTAGTTACAGAGAAGTGTAAAAATCATGTCTGAAGAGGTTGGATTAGCATTTAATCCATACTGGATTAGTATTTAATCCATCCAAGGTGCTGATTCTGAAAACAAACCCTCACAGTCCCCTCAGTACCTGCCCAAAAGGAGCTCAGCTCCAATACAACGCACATCCTGACAAGCTCCTGTTCACTTCAATGGAGTTAGCAGTGAAAGTTGTGCAGAAAGGTCAGTTTTGGCAGAAGACGGAATATATTTCTCACCTTTTCCTCCGCACGTTTGTAACGCGGGAGAATTTTCAGAGAGGCTCAAAAAAGGAAATTGCCCTAATTGGATAGTTTACATTCCCTCACCTGAGGAGGAACATTTGGAATATATTTTTTTATTGGGCTAGAAGATGAAGGCATTTACTCAGGCACAAGTAAGTGTGTGATTAGTGGGACTTTTACCTGGAGAAAGCTATAATTTAGAGAAAAATCCTGTAATTAGGCACATACATAGAGAAAAAAAGGAGTTCCTGGTTTTGCACACAGGTTACTGTGAGGGGCAGAGGCCACATGCCTGCACTCTGCCCCACTGACAGCACCATGAGAAGGACAAGCTACCACGGGTCAAACTTCCCACACAGGACTGCAGCATTAAGTGAACTGTTCCCAAAGGACACCTAATGCATCCTGCTGGTCTTGGAGGCAGCTCTCATAGCCACACTCAGCACTAGGACCAGGATTTTCCGGGCACTCTGTTAATATTTATAGCTACACAATCCCTTAGCAGCAGCTTCATTTCCCTCTCAGGTCAAAGCACAGTGGAGAGCCCATGTCACTGCCCCAGCCCACACACAGCAGACTGTGGCTCACACCAACTCACTTGATGATGGGATTCTCAAACTGTTTGGCACATCTCCACTGTCGGATGCAGGACAAGCAGTACGTGTGGTTGCAGTTGGAGAGGATCCCAAACCTCCTCTCTGAGGCAGATGGCTTCTCATACACCACTTCCATGCAGATGCTGCACACCTTGTCCTGACTGGCCTGGAAGGCAAAGGCCTTCTCCATGTCATGCTCAAATGTTGCCATGCACATCTGTCACAGGAGACAGGTCACTGGTTAGTGCAGCCCACCTGGCACTGGTTACAGCCCATCTGTCAGCCTGTGCCTTGGCAAATCAAAGTGCCTGTTAAAAGGATCTAATCCAGGAAAAACACTTATCAAGGGCATCACTCCTACCTGTCACTGTCATGATTTAATATAAAGAACATTAAATTCAATCATATATTTCAGCCCTTCAGTGTTCTCTGCAGCTTCAGAGCTGTCGGAACTAACGGTGCTCTTTGTTCACCCCTTTCTGTCTCTTTGTCATGGGACAGGTATTGAATAACTTGAGGCTTCAAACACCCCAAAAACCATCTCATTGAGGGTCCAGAACAGGTGCCATGCTCAAAGTGTTCCTCTGATTATTATTAAGGCCACATTCATTCCCCAGAAATTAGCTTTACCCAGTTAAGGAATTAGTCTCTTATTTCAGGCTTTCCTACAGCAGTTCTCATCCCAGCAATGACAACCCATAACCCAGTCACACTCTCACAGCACTACAAGGTGAGCTGGTGCTCATACCTCTTACTTTTCAGAGGTCTCAGGACTTGAAAAGTAAAATAAACTTACAAGGCTTTAAATGATAATAATGATAAAGAAATAATAATTCCCAATGAGTAGCAGCATTTGACTAGTGCATGTGCTCATCCAGCACACACCTCTGCCTCCAGGGCTGAGCACCTGAGAGCACAAGTGACAGGACAGCAACAAGCTCTTGGGAGAAGAGC